CACGGGTCAGTCCCACGGGCTCTGCTCCCCCTCCCTGGGCAGCTCTGCAGGGCTGGTTTGGGGCATGGGCTGTGCTCGGCAGGGATGTGTGGGCACCGGGCTGACCCCTCTCCCTTGGCAGGGACTGTCCCTCTGGTGCGTTCAGTCCTGCACAAAGGCAGAGCTGGAGGCTGCTGGAGTGCCAGTGCCGTGTGATCCCTGCGGGGGCTGGCAAGGGTCTGACTCCCTCTGTGCTGGCAGTCAGAGGGCCATCAGATCCTGCTGGGCCTGCCAGTGGGCAGCTTTCCCTCCTCTGTCTAGTCCATCACGAGGGCAGCTCACTTTGATTTCTGGTCGTGCACATAACTGCACATTCCACTTACTGCACCCGAGGAAGAGGGAGGAACATAAAAGCAGTTCTGTTGTGTCCTGAGCACTGATCAGCCACTGTGGGCAGGGTGGCTGGGTCTATGAGGCTGGTGAAGAGTTGATGAGACAGTGTGAAGCTTCCTGGTGGGCCCTGACTTATTCCTTGGGGGTCTTTGAATGGGAGCGGGGAGAAGACACATGTATGTTATGCCTGGAATGCAACAAGATTGCATGTGATGGTGGTGAGTGGATGTAACACCTCAGGAAGGTCCTTCCCAGAGACCTCTGTTGGTATTTTCATGACTTAGGAGTCAGCTTGCTCAAAACTACCCTCCCAGTGTTTGCTGGCCTGGCTGCTGCAGCAGCAGGTGACCGTGTTCAGGGCAGACATGACCATCACAGGGACAGATCAACGAGCCTCAGGGGATGGTGGCTTGGCAGTGCTGGGTCTCTGCCCCCTCCCTGCCTGTCTCTGGGTCAGGGTGTGAAGCCCTCCCTGCTGGGCTCAGGGGGTGCAGGAGGGGACAGGCGGTACCTGCTCTCGCTCCGCCGTTTTGCGCAGCTTGTAGATGAACTCCACCATGGCCACGAAGACGGACAGCACCAGGCCTGCTGCCAGCACGATGAAGATCCCCCCGATGTTCTGGATGCCCAGAGCACTGGCCTCCTTGTTCTCATCCTCAGGGCAGCCATTCCCCCGCCACCACTTCTCCTTCATGACGTGGAGCTTGTCCTCCTCCTGGAGCTGGAGGATGGCGATGGTGATCTTGTCCCTGTACGGTGACCCTGGGGAGGGGAACACCATGGCACACAGGGGGAAGGTGGGACCAAAATCCCACCAGATAGGGAAGGTGTCTGTTAAGCAGGGCAGCTCAGACCTCTCTTCAGCAGGCAGACAGTGTAAACTTTGGTATTTGGAGCTTTGCTGTTGGGAGTGGCTCACATGAATCACCTCTGTTGTGTTGGTGGGAACCAGCCCCCTCGGGGTCCCTGCAGACCCCCCGTCACTTACCCATGGGCGTGCCGATGCCGTAGCCTTTGGTGTCGATGAGCCCCCCGATCTGGGTGAGGTTGCAGTTCCTCTGGGTGATGTACTCGATGGTGGTGGACTCCATCAGCAGGGCGTAATCGGCCGTCAGGGTTCGCTGGATCCCCTCCTCGTTGTTTTTAACCAGCGCCGTGGGTTTGCTGCTCATGAAAGCCCACATTTTTTCAAACGTGGAAATTTTGGATTTCTGCAAAAATGATACCCCCACCCCCCCAAAATAAGAATGAATCTTCAATTTGCTGAAACCTGGTATCTTTTCAGTAAATAATAATAACAGTAATAATAGCAGTTAAGAACGGGTCACAGAGCGGAGCCATCCCCAATCTGACCTTGTCTTAAACACCTCTGTGCTTTTACTGCCCAACGTTGTTTGGTTTCACGTTGTCATAACAAGAGACAAAGGTCCCAGCATATGTTCTGCTGTGCAGGTGCTTCAGGCCCTTGGGTGGAACTGAACCCTTTCCTGGCTTCCCTGCAGCCCCTCCTCATGTCCCAGGCCAGCAGCAGATCTGCTGAAATGTATAAGTGTCCTAAAAAGGATTTGTTTACCCTTTAACATTTCTGCATGGTTTTCTCTGCCACACATATTATATTCTATGATATTTTTGTCTTTCCTCAAGCATGGCAAGGAAATATGTCTCCTCTGAGATATGTGCAACTGCCAAACAGATTTAACGTAACCACGTAAACAGAGGCACAGAGATACTCAAGATTGTCTTATGGCTAAAAATAAACATGGATATTCTTTCACTATCAGCAGACATTCTGTTGCAAAGATGGGGAATATGTTTTCTATCTTGCTATTCATGTGAATGTTGTTTTTTTCTTCTACAAAATGTGTTGGGTGAGAAGAAATATGGTTATTTTACATCTTGCCGTAACATTTGAAATGTACCATTTATCTACGAGCACCTTCTGAGTTGTCTCTGCCACTTGTCACAGAAGTCATAGAATCCCAGAATGGTTTGGGTTGGGAGAAACTCATCCAGTTCCACCCCCATGGGCAGGGACACCTTCCACTAGCCCAGCTGCTGGTCAGAAGTGGTTTTAGTTTTGGCAGATTCCCTGGACAGGCAGAGCAGTTCCCTCCTGCTGTGCCCCTTTGCTGTCCCTCAGATCCGCTCTGTTCCTCAGGAACAGCACCTGGATTTTAAAGCCCGTGTTCCACTGCTGCCTCCTCCTTCATGCACCGTTCTGCTTTCCTGCCCAGTTCCTTGTTTTTCCTCTTTTTGCCTTCTCATTTCATCAGAGGCAGCTTAGTCAGCCAGACCTGCTCCTGCACCACGCTCCTGGTCGAGGCTGGAGCTGGCTGGTGAGTTGGAGGGCTGGGAAGTCCCTGTGCTGTGCCCTGGGCAAGGACAGCTCAGCAGCCACAGCGACTCAGACGCTTCAGCCGTCGCTGTTCTCCCTGCAGGTCTCTGTCCTTCCGTGAGGAAGCAGGAGATGGAGCCCCAGTCCAGCCCAACTGCTGCTGCCACAGCTCCCCCTCATTCTGTCAGTGTCACCCAAAATGTGCCAGCATAGGCTCTTCTGATGGAACCACTGTAATTCAGTGCATTATCTGAAGGTCCCTCGTAATGCTTCATATTCCAAATGCCTTGCCCAGCCACTTCCTTTTTCCCAGCAAATGTAGCAAAAGTTAAACAAAGGCTCAGGGGGGTGCAGTGCAGTTCAAGCAAAGGCCGTTTCCCTGCCTTTAACCCCGCGGGCCCCTTCTCCTCTCCAAAATGCCCACGGGCTCATTTCTCCTCCATTAAAGCTCGTGCTTATTATAATCCACTTGATGAATGTGCAGCAGAGGATGTATCAGAGCAAACTTCATTCAAGAGGCAGGATAATCTCCCTCACTTGAAAATCTGGACCAGTGCCTGTAAGGTAGATTTGTGGCATCTATCAAACCTCAAAGAGCAGCAAGAAATGTAGCCTGCAAAAGGATTATTAAATACCTGTGCGTTACAATGGGTAATTGAAATGAATCTGGTGCTCGGTTGGCTGATAAGGACCTGTTTAACATTTATATTGTTCAAATCAGAGGCCTCTGAGTTTCCTGGCTCTCCCTTTGACACCTTCTCTTCCTGTGTTTAATGCTCCTTAGGTGTTGACACAGAGCTCTTAACATCAGTGTTCTCCCAGTTTAGAACATAGAGCAAAATAAACAGGCAAAAAATCAATAGGCTGCATTTAGTGAAGCAAATGGGACTTGCATGAGGCACTGGAGCTCTTCAGGCAACTGAAATTCTATGGAAGAGAAAAACCACTTTTCTCTTCTCCTCTTAAATCACCGCTCCTGACCAGCTTGAAAGGACTTGATTGTGTTTGGGAATGCCAGGAAGAGCCCAGATTTCTCCAGAGTCCAGCTCTGAGCATCCCAGGGCCGAGCACCCCTGGGATACTCTCAGCAATGCCTGAATCCATGGCAGGGACCTTGCTCTGAGCATCCCCAGGGCCGAGCACCCCTCCGTCTGGGGCTCCCCTGGGTCAGGGCTGGCCACGAGGATGGAGCTGCTGGTCACTGCTCCCTCCTGCCAAAGGAACAGCCGGGACAGACCGCCGGACACAGGGCCTGGCTGTGCCTCATCCTGCTCACCCCTCTCATCCTGCCAGTGGAGCTCTCCTCGATTTGTTTGCGGTAAATAACACCAGGATCTGCTCTGCTGTGCTCTGCATCCCAATCAGCCCGGGCTGGTGCTAAATGAGATGTGTGTGAGAGCCGAGCACCAGCCCCTCCGATCGCACCGACGGCGCCTCCGACTTCATTCTTCAGAGTCACAGCTCAGGAGCCACCTTCAATAACCAGTGCTGCAGGGCCAGTCACCCACAGCAATTAATGGAATCGTTTAGAGGAGCCCCCACGAGGCACCTTGCCAAGACATATACGCTTTTTTATCAGCCAAATTGGCAAGAAAGGAACTATCAGGCTTAAGATTTTCAATTCCAGCCTGTATGAAAAAATAAATTGATTTTCACCGACTGAAGATACTCTCACTCTTGAGGATTGAACGTGTACAAGTGTCTCTGTGTACACACACACACACACACGGGTTCCAGACTGACGTGAGACCCGTCGTTGGTTCAGAGCAGCAGCATCCTCTGTGGGATGGGAAGGATTTCTGGCATGAGTTATAATGAACTCGAGATGCTATTCCTAAATTAATTGATCCGTGTTTATTCCTGTAACTCAATCTGCATTGCCAGGGAATAAATAGCTTCTCAGAAGTTCTTTTCATGAAGTCAAAACCTGCCAATACGGTTGGTAAAACTTCTGCTTCCCGTCTGCCGTGGCCAGGTAGCTGGGCTGCCCAGGGAGAACCTTTGTGGGAGCAGGATCCCCCACCATGGAGATGCCCCAGGGGTGTCTCTTGGCTCTGTTCCGTCAGGACCTTCTGTGATGTCCCTGGTGAGCTCTGCACAAACACTCAGGCAGCCTGAACACAGAACTGGTCAGTGCTTTGGGAACCACCTCAGGGAACAGCGTGCAAGGCGTCTGCCTTCCTCTTCCTCCTGCTCTCCACTGCTCCCCGAGCTCAGCTCCCGGGATGGTGCTCTCCTCCTGCAGCCCGAGGTGCCACAGGGCCTGGCTGTGCTCGGGGTCATGTGGGAGACTGCAGCTGGTTTAACAGGAGCAGTGCAGGAGCCAGTTCCTGACGTGTGGGAAGGAGCCATACAAGGAGCCAGGCAGCAGTTTGTGCTGGTGATGATCCACGGAGCAGGATTCCTGGTGTGCTGCCCTCAGCCTCTGTCCCGGCAGGGCCGGTGTGCTCGGAGCTGCTCCGTCCCCAGGGCCTCTCCAGGAGCCATGGTGCACAGGAGCCAGCAGGGCTGTGTCTGGGGTGCCCCCCTTCAGCAGAGGAAGGGCAGGGAAGCCACGAGCCCTTTGCTGTTCCTCCAGTGCCACCCACCCGAGGGAACGCGGATCCTCAGCCGACTGCCAGCGCTCGCCCCCGGAGCTTTGTGCTGTGTGACAGGTGTCCCCGAGGGGGTGGCACTGCCACCATGGCTGTGGGAATTGCCCAGGCACTGACAGAGACCGTCCTGGGGGTGGGAGAAATCCTGGCTCTCCTGTGCCCCTCTGGACATGAAGGACAAGCGAGCAGAACATCCCACCCGGGTGCTCCCACTGCTCTAGTAATGGAATCGCTTGTCAGAGGGGACATCCCTGAGAATTCATCTCCATACAACAGTGATAATAAAATACACTGCATCAATAAACCCTGCCAGGGCCGTTGGAAGCCTGAAGTACGATTCTGATGGATAATGATATGAAGCAATAAATATACTGTGTCCTGATGATTGTTAAAAGAGACAGTTTCCTTTTATTCCCGTATAAAACTCGTCTTGGAAAGCACAGTTAAAGCACACAGTTACAGCCTGTCTTTCCCTGCTGGCTCTTCCAGGTTTATATGGCTCTGGAAGGTACCCCTGTGCATCTGGCCCGTGCCACAGACAGAAGCCATGGACCAGCTCCATGGCAGGAGGCAAATGGGCCCTCGGTAGCAAGTGGGCATTCCCAGAATTCATTAAAGGACAAACCAAACTCCCAACCAACCTCTGCTGCTGCCTGTCACAGTAAGGGTGGAGATTCAGGAAGGGCAGTGGCTCCTCAGCAGGGTCAGAGCCCAGAGAAGTTGTGGGACAAGGAGGTTCTTTGTAATTAAAACCCAGCACATTGGCTTCCTCTAATGAGTCTTGCCAATTAAACTGGGGAGGCCTCCTCAAGCTGTGGCACCCTGTGCTGCTCAAACACTGCAGCACCAGGTCCAGCCTGCCTGGTGAAGCCTGGACTGTGCTTGTCACATATTTCCTTCTGCATTAGGGGGATGAGGGGAAGGAGTGTTTCCCAGTGGAGGTGTGCTGGAGCCAGTCTCATTCCTGAGCCAAGGGCTGGAATCTGCCCATGCTCCTCTTGCCTTGCCAGGGTGATAATTCCTTAATCACCCCTCATTTCTATCCCTTTTTTCTCTCTCTTGTTTTAAGTGGGTTTTTACAGGCCAGCAGTGGTTTTAAAGGTCTTTTTACACCTCTCAGTTTCTTTCCATTTTTGAGGCAACAGTGGAATCTGACTGACTTCTGAATTTAATTAGGCTTTAAATAGAAGAAGTTAATGCAATTTGATTGTGATGTACTGGTGGTGTTACCTTGCCCTGGATCTCAGAGGTTAATAAAACTGGACTGCATTGATATGAATAACTGAAGGACAAGAAAGATATTTCAGCTGTAAAAGGTACTGGTCAGGGAGGGCACTTTGCAACATCTGTCCAGCTGCAGGTTCCATTTTGCTCCTCTGTCCCTGAGGGCTGGCTGGGTCAACCTCGGGGCTCCCTGGGGCTGTGCTGGCAGAGGCACGGAAGGAGCTGGATGCAGCAGATGTGGAGATTGGGAAGATGCTTTAGGGAATGTAAGATTTTTTTGTAGGGCTTTAATACAAGTCACACCTGTCCCGTTGTGCCTGGCACGTGCTTTGTTTGAGGTGTCTGAGCCAATACTGGATACAGCCTCCAAAGCTGTAAAATCAGTGTCATTTTCTAACTGTGACTTCAGTTGGCAGCAGGGAGGGAGGATTTAGCCTTGCTGGGACTCAGGAAGGCTGCACTGCCAGTCTGCACGAGATGTGAGACTGAAAGAACCCGCCTGTGAGCAGCAGCAGTGGTGGCCTGGGAGGCTTTGTGTCTTTGTGTCTTTGTTCTCACTCCCGTTGGCCTCAGCGTGTTGCATCTCTGCCTGGAAGGTGGAAAGCCTCTGCCTGGTCTCACCTTGAAGAAGGTCATGGTAGCTCCATCCTTCACTGCCCCGTACTCTATTTTTGTCTGCTTTGCCAAGTCATCTGCCGAGTCGATGGGGGACTCCATCCTCTCCACCGTCAGGAAGGCGGCGAGGTTGGCCGTGTAGGACGAGATGATAATCAGGGTGAAGAACCACCATATGCCACCAATGATCCGTGTGGACAGGGCCTTGGGCATCAGCTCCGAGCCTGGGGCGGGAGAGGGGGAGGGCAGGGAGGAAACAGAGGGGAGGGACCCGGTTTATACATACGTATGTGCATTATATTTGTACACATATATATATATATATATATATATATGTAGGATTAAGTTTCACTGTCAAAACTGTAACAGCTATGCAATTAAAGCCAACTGGTTTTGAGGCAGATTACCCAGACATCTTGCATGCGAGGACATCAGTGGGGTTTTTGTAGCATTTGCAGAAAAACCCTCTCCCTCGATTGCTGACCTTGGGTACAGTGCCCAATTTACAGGAAACATCCAAACTGAAGTAATTAACTGGGCTGCTTTTATGAGATTTAAATAGCAAGCTATTTATGAACTTTTATGAGTGTTTTGTTCTGCCATTTAAAAAGTGCTTTGCTTTTATATGGATTATTTTCAAAGGGCTCACTCTGGGGAGTGTGTTCAAATACACAAGGTTTGAAAAAAAATCAAACAGCCAGAGAAAGGAACTATCAGGGTCCAGGGCTTTGAATGCCAGTTAGAAGTGGGGAAGCAGGAGATGTTACAGCATAAAAGGTGTGGTGGGTCTGGAGTGACTTTTATTGAGCAGACACGAAGGGCTAAATGGGATGTGCTATTTTTGTAATCGCCCCAAACACCTTTTAAAGCCAGGCAAGAGCTTTGGGTTTGAAACAGCTGCACTCAGAGGATTTATCAGCCTGGAATGTGCAACAAAGATTGGGCTTTGCAAAGCAATTTTAGGCAGTGTGGCATCAAAGCAGAGCTTGGGGTGTAGCTTTGCTCCCATCTGAGTGCAGCAAGGAGACACCAGGAAGAGGAGGAGCCCTGGATATTGAGGATGCTTTGGTTCTCCTCAAGATCCTGCTCCTTCCCCGTTCCATCTCCTGCCCTTTGATGCATTGGATGCTGTGACATCAGTCCGGCTTTGAAATATTTTTCTTCTTAGATGCAGAATTGAGTTAAAAAGAATACAGCTCTTTTCATTTATCAGCATCTGATAAGGGGATGATTCATCCTGCTAAACCATCTTGCTGGGAACTGTCACAGTCCACGAGGGCAGCCGAGATCCAGGAGGAATCTCTATTACAGGCAGGAGCTCTGTGCCTGCACCGAGCCAGTGCTGGGCTGCTTTTGCTCTCTGGGCATAACTACTGGTACACGGTAAATTAAAGTGTGACAAATGTTTGACATTTCCACTTATTACTATTCCTGGATTTTCTGCAATTAGATCAGAGCTGAATTTCGTTCCTTATTCAGAGCTGCTCCCAAGCTCCCCCCCTGCTGCCTTCTGAACAGATTTACTCTATTCATTCCATCTCTCTCTATTCCCTTTGCTCTATTCCGTGCATGCACACGAGTGTAATCCCATCCATATCCCATTCCCAGGGCCCTGTCATGGGAGTGTCTCACACCAGGGACACTGAAACAGTCCCCTCACACAGTGGCTGCCAGGCAGGGGCTCCCGGGGAGCTCCTCACCAGGAGCTTCAGGGCTCTTCACACTGCTCAGAATGACCAGGGCAGGGAAAAAATGGGGACAGAGCAGAGGGCAAGACACCCTGTCTGCTGGGAAAGTTGATTTAGAGCAGAGCGAGCCAGGGCAGAGATCCTGAAATGGAACAAAGGGTTTGAATTAACAGAAATAGGAATTTACAGAGCTGTGGGATGTGGCTGAGTTGGGCGAATGAGGCAGCTGAGGGACAGGAAGGCAGGGTTCCCCTCAGGGCATGGTGGTGGGTGCTCAGAGGTTGCAAACAACCCAAATTTTAAATTAAAAAGCCACCCTGGCAGGTGGGTGCTGGCAGGGAGTGGCAGGGGGTGCTGCCCTACCTTGCTGCATCAGCGCTCCCATCCCGAACCAGAAGCTGTTGAGGAGGGTGAAGTTGTTCTCCACGATGTCCGAGCCCGGGTTGCAGGGATGGGCATCGTACCACTCGTAGGGGCTGAACCTGCAGCACAGGGAGAGAGTGTTGGTCGGGGTGTGGTGGGACAGGATCCTAAAGGAGCAGGAGATAAAGGGCCTCAGTGCCCCTGGTGCTGCCGGGCAGGGGCTGCTGACCCCCTGGCAGGAGGCCTGTGAGAGGTTCTGGCTCTGCAGAGGTGTCTGGGACAAACAGTGGTATTTCAGGGATTCTCCCAGCAGTGCATGTGGGAACTGGAGTGGGATTCAAGTTAGTGAGAAGCAGAACTGTCCACCGTCCTGATAGGCAAGAATTCTGCCCTGTCAGGGCACCAGCAGAACAGTGGAATTTGGTGCAGGTTCCCTGTGGATTGCTGTGACACTTGGCCCTGTAGCAGGTGGTGGGAGAAACTTATTCCCTGCAGGGATGTATTTCCGTGGATGGCCCTGCAGTTCTTGAGCAAAAATGAGATAATTTCCTGTGAACATCTCTGCAAATCCTGCCCAGGATTGGCAGGAAAGCACTGCTGGGAATGAGCTCGTTTAGCCAGGATCTGGGGAGGATGCTCAACAGGAGAGACGTTAATATTTTTAGAGCTGTTTATTTACATTTTCTGAGAGTCCCAAATTTTGCAGAGATTAAATTAAAAACATAATTGGTATAATTGCTTTTGAACCAGGCATTAATTATCATCTCCGCTTCCTTCTGGAATCCCTGGAGATTCACAACAGCCCCTTCTCAGAGCCCAGCCCACAGCCTGTGTCAGGAGATGTTTCCCTCTGTAATTCTCCACCAGATGTGCCACCACCCAAGGAGACAGTTTGTGGCTCACTTCCAGGGGTGCCCTCGCTCACAGAGCTGGATGTGTTTGGAGAGAAGGGCCCCAGCTCTGTGCCAGGTCCCTGCTGGCTCTGAATCCTGCCCCTGGCACACGTGGGTGCAGAGCTGGAATCCTGTCCCGTGGCCGGAGCAGGGCCAGGCACGGGAGGGTCCGGGGGAGGGACCATCCCGGGGGAGGGACCAGGCTCTGCTCGTGCCTTTGGAAAGGGTCACCCTGGGCTCAGCTGTCCCACTTTCTGCTCCTGTTTTCCACGTGCAATGTACAGTTCAACAGCCTCTCCTCTGCTCTGGGTTATCTCACCTCCTGCAACAGGGCCGTTCCCTGCCCTGGGTTGGGGGTGTGGAACCAGAGGTTCTGCTCACCCAGACAGTCCTGCTCGTTCATTCAGGCAGTGGCTGGGCTGTCCTTGCTGCCCACCCACCTCTGCTTTTTAAATCAGAGGAAATCAGCAAGGAAACAAGAACCAGGCTGAACTCAGACCCAGCTTTACATGCTGCTTATTCCTTGTAACTGGCTATAAATCACACCAGAGGTGGATAAAGGATGGCACCTCAACCTTTTCTGTTGGATAAAGCCAGAATTCAGGAATTAGATTAAAACTTTCTTGGGCTGCAAGTGCAACACTATGAAACAGAAAGGGAATGGGTGAGATCAATGAGCCTGGCGAGATGACATGCTGGAGAACTTCAAGGTCTCTGAGCAAAAACCTACTGGTGCTGTTCAAATGACAGGGAAATATTCAGAAATCTGCAGAGCAGCAACAGTCTGAGCAGTGAAACCATTAGTGGAGGCAAGAGGTAACGAAGGAAGGAGGGAGAGGAGCTCACTGACCCCATGCAGCCAGAGCCACAGTCCATGGGGAGCTCAGGGTGCTCCATGGATGGATTCCCAATGGGCTCAGAGGAGTGTTCCATCAAAAACTGTGATTGTTTCTCTGTCTCTTTGGCCTTTTTTGGCAGGGAAATGGAGACATTTCAAAGAAGTTTTAAAGTCCTAACACAAAATACTTCTGAGTCTAAATTGCATCTCCAGAGAAATTTCCTGTGGGTGACCCAGCCCTCAGTGCAATGAGGAGGGTAATGAACCCACTGCCCCGCTGTGCACCCGAGGGGATTGGTGTCACTCAGGGGCTCTGGGAGCCTGAGCACAGGGGGCAGTTCAGGGCACAACCCACCCCAAGGGTCACAGACACAGCCCCCTCCTCAACCTTGGGAACAGGGAGTGTTGAGGCTCTTAAGGGCTGGGGGGTGGGAGCAAGGGCTCCATCAATAAAGGACTGAAAGACTGATTAAAAGGAGAAATGGATCCAATCCATCCTTTGCCTGCCTCTAAATAGTCCCCAGATCGGTTTTAAGTGGCACTGACCAATGGCTGTGGCAGGAGCAGAGGACTCTGGTGCCTGGTTCTGGGGACTCATGGCTTTGAATTAAGGCTTTGCTGTTTTGACTGCGCTTTCCTTCTGAGAATTGAATTCCAGAGGCCTTGCTGGGGTCAGAGGCAGATATTGTTTCCATTACTTCTGAACGCAGTAAATATTTTCCCTGTGAAATCTCTTGCTTTCCATCTCTATGTGTTAAAAGATCATTCCTGCAGAACCTTAATTACCCTGAATACTTGGTGTTCTTTGAAAGAAAGATGACAGAAGAAATGTCAGGAACAAAACATGTGAAAAATAAACAGTAATCGCAATATTTTCTGTGTTGAATTTCAGCCAAAAATGGCCTGATAGAGAAAAACTGTAGTATTTTATTGCAATTGATGTGATGCAGGGAGATACTGAGGCTCGTTTCAGAACAAAACCAGAGAAAAAAACATAGTTCTCCAGGTTTTCATCCCTCAGCACCGGCAGAGAGCCAAGGCTGGGCAGAGCCACTGTGCTCAGACAGAGCATCTGGATGTCCCTGTTTGTGCAAAGTGGTGTCTCATCAGGGCCTGTCCCAGCATTTCCTTCAGCCTTTCCTCAGTATTTGCTGCAGTATTTTATGTGCAGATACAATTTGCACATTTAACATGCTTTGAAAGTGGGGGCTGGACAATTTGGGCTGGATCTGGCCATTATGAGTTGGGAAAAATAAGCTCATGAATATAAAACTGTGTTTGAATTGCCACTGCAGGCTGCACAGGCAGCCTGGTGCTTGGTGGCACTCAAGGCAGCAGTGCTGTGGGAGCAGAGCCCACCCAGCTGTGTCCTGCCCAGGGACAGACAGCCAGGGGCTTTCTGCCACTCATCCCAGGACTTCTGCTCGAAATTGCCTTGGGTCCATTTTCCCACATCTGGTTCTCTCTGGCACAAAGCAGAACCACTGAGGGCCTCACCCTGCCCCGCTGGAGCCCCCACGGTCTTCCCAGGGGTTTCAGCTGGTGGCAGGGAGGGCTCTGAAGGCCCCACTGGTATCAGTTCAACGGGCAGTAGTGAGAGATGAGTGTCTGACTGCAGGCTGGGCTGAGGACTCTTCCCTGGACGTGGTGTGTATGCACAATATTCCATGGGGGGCTGTGTGTGGCCAGGGAGGGTGCCTGCCCCCAGGAGGGGGAGAGTGCCTTGTTCTGGTTTGAAAGGTGGGATCATGGATTGAGAGCATCCCTGGACTGTGTCTCATCAAAGGCTCTGTGGAATCAACAACACATGCAAATATATGCAAATTCTGATTTTAAATATAGAGGATTTAAACATGCTAATTAGATGCATATTAATGTTGTAAACAGACACATTGTCAGATCTGTGGTGATGGCTTCTCCAGTCTTTTGATATCGGGGAGGGTTTGCAGGAGCTTTGCTGGAGGAGGGATCAGAGCCAGGAGCAGCAAACGGTGTGGGAGGTGGAGCTGTGTCCAGGAACCAGGAGGGTGTGGGAGATGGAGCTCTGTGTCCAGGAGCCAGGAGGGTGTGGGAGATGGAGCTCTGTGTCCAGGAGCCAGGAGAGGCTGGGGAGGGGTGTGAGCACTGACCGAACAGGACGTGAATGGAGAATGACACAGAGCAGGAAAATTACCCTTCACGTACCAGGGAGGGGCTGATGAGATGGAAAGGCAGCAAAATTTCCAAAATCATGAAAGAAAGTGCATTTTAAAATTCTTTCCTCCTGGCAGTGTGTGAGAGCAAGCAGCCCCTGGGGGGATCCCAGTGGTGCCACGGGTTTGGTGTGTCCCCTTACCTGGCTATGACAAAGAGCACACAGCTGACCCCCAGGTAGGCGAGCAGGATGTACATCCAGATGTCGGGAGAGAGGGGGTTGAGGAAGGAGAACACGCTGGGGTTGGTCCCGTTGGGTTTCCGGTACAGGATGCTGACCCCCAGGGTCATGAAGGGCTTGGAGAAGTCGATGGCTTTCTCCCGCACGTGGGTGATGGTGAGGGGAGCCACGGCCAGGTCAGCTTTCTGTGAGCAGCACAGAGGGAGGGGACAGGGCGAGAAGGAAAGGAGGAGTTAGAAGCTGAGGTGTTTCCATCTCCTCAGAGACACCCACAGCCCTCACACAGCAGAAATGGGCCACAAAGTGCCCCAAGTGCAGCCTCGGGGTTCCCCCCTCCTGTTGCACTTGGGGACATGTGTGCTGTGAAATACAGATGTGGGGTGTATGATCTGTGCTGTGAAACAGTGCAGCCAAAGGGAGGTGTGACAGCCTCTGCAGCTCTGCTAAACTGGGCAGAAAAATTGGATTTTGTGGTGTTACAGTGTCAGTGACCCTGGCTGTGCTGCTCCTCACTCTGAGCAGAGAGCAGCTGTGTGCAAACCCGCCGTGGCAGGGGGGGGTTGTTGTTGTCCTTCCTTTCATGCTGCTTTACTGATTTCTGTGCTAATTCAGCGAGTGACCACATACACCCCATTGGTTCAGAGCTGTGTTCATTCCTCTCACTGAATATTCACCCAGGCTCTTCAAAAAGCCACAAGAAAATAAGTCTAAGGCTTTCTCAATGTCACCCGCCTTGCCTGGGCTTTGCAAGCCACTCTTTGGGATTGTGGACTTCCCAGGAAATGCAGGCACATAAATTATAGCTCTGAAGTTGAGCAGAACCTCCCCCCGTGCCAGGAGCTCGTGTGAGATTTATTTAACATCTGGTTCTGAAAATTAAAATTCTGAATTACCCATGAGTGATAATTACCTAGAGATGGAGCGAATTTGTCATTACTCACAAAGTGTAAATCAATATTAGCTGGAACATGCTTTGCTCCAGCAGGAACTGGGGGTTCACTGTAGGAACTGGAGCAGATCCCTGGCCTGTGCTGGGGGGAAGGTCAGGTTAATGGTCTCGTTTGGCCTTCCAAATCTGTGATGAAAGTCAGTGGAATATTTTTAAATAGAGGAATCTGGGCCTTTTACTCTAAGAAGAGTCTCCACAAGAGCTGTTGTCCATTACCCAGGGGTGTGTGTGTGTGTGAAAGGGATCCCTCTCCAACGAGTGCAGCCTCAGAGGGCCTGAACAGAAGAGCTTCAGGAATTCTGTAACAAGGGTAAAAGGGATGTATTTTGTTCTAACGTGATTCTCCAGCTGCGCCCTGGTTGGTTCCCTTTCCTTCCCACTTTCCAAATGGAAATAGGTTTTTAAACCAGATTGGTACAGAAACAGCCCATTTCAGTCACTGGCACTTGTCAAAACTTGGGGAAAGTGGGAACAATATTTTCCAGGTGAGCCTACTGTGCCACCTGTGGTTGTGGTGACATGGGTGGAGGCTGAAGGACAGGGCTCTGGAAGTGGACAGGCAGTGGTGGCTGCTCAGCCTGAGGTGGGAACGTTCTGCATCCTTGGGACCGTCCTGGCAGCTTTGGAGCTTGGCTGCTCCCCCAACCTCACAGCACACCTGGGAATTTTGGCTCAGTGCTCCCCACAGTCACAAGGCAGAAATGCAAAAGAAATGCAGCGTTTTCCCTCCTCCATCACTTCTGTGTGGGTGTCCTGACTCACCAGGGAAAAGCGAAGGAGATGTTGAAGGATTTGGCTCTGAGTTTTTCTGAAGGAGGGAACAGTTCTGTGGCCAGAGCTCGCTGGCCAAGGGACGGGCTGAAGGATCCTCAGCCAAATTTGTCACAATGGTACAGTGAGCAAAGGAACAGCCTGGAGTTTGTGCTTTGCCACGGAAAATGAAGAGAGAGAAATCTGCATGGACACCCAGGGGTCCAACTGCTTCTAGTGCAGAAATAAAATTTTCCTGTGTCATTCCATCGGTTCCTGAGATGTGCTCCCAGCCCGTGTCCTTGCAGGGAATGTCACACGCAGGCAGACGGAGCATGGATTTGGGAGCCCGGGCTGGGGTGTGTCCTGAGCAATTAGAGGCAGTGCAGGGCTGCAGTTCCATATCCTTTTTATCAATGCAGATCTTTCTGAAGGTGGCCTCTAATTAAAGGTTTGCTGACGGAGAGGATCTAAATCAAACCCACCAAGGATGAAGCTTTGATTTGTCGTGCTCTGACGTTCCAAACTGGGCAGTCAATTACCAGGCTCTGGCTGCTTCCTTCACTCAGCCCTGACTCTTGTGCTGTTGCACAGTCAGGTGGATTTTATTGAAAATGAGGAATTAGAGCAAGTGCCAGTGGCTTAAAGGCCCTTGTCCAGCAAAACCACTTAAGCCCATGCCTCTCTTTTCCTGGAGCTTGCACGCCTTCCAGGCGCTGTACATGTTCTTAAGTGTTCTGCTGAATTGAGGCCAAAAAGATGAATTTTGCCGAGGCAGCTACACACCAAATGCAGACACTTCTCCAGCACACCTCGAAGGGTTTGGATCTCCTCATTCCCCCAGTTACAGCATTTTCACTTGGCTGGAACGGCTGCGGGTTCACCGGGCGTTCAGCACAGGGACAGTCACATTTGCTGCAGAGATATTTGGCTTTTATCAGAAAATGCCAAACCTTATCTCCAAGTTCTCAGCTATCAGGGGGATGTGGCCTGTGGGTCAGAAGAGCTCTTGCACAGCCTGGTCACTGTGGGAATCCTGCAGTGCCCGACCTCGGCCGGAGCCGGGCCGGGGCTGAGGGCTGGTCATGGCAGAGCCCAACAGTGTGAGCACCCAGACAAATATTTATCCAAGAAAATAAGCTGCCTCTGTGCTTATTTTGCCAACCTGCCTTAGGTATTTACATAAACTAATCATGTGTGTGTTGCCTGAGAGACAGAAATAGTGTGTGTTTTACTGCTTTAATTGTTATCCAGGTGTCTGTCTGGCAGCACCAACACCCTCCTCCCTTGGTCCCTCTTGCTGGGCCTTCTGTGCTGGGTTCCATCTCTGTCCCCTCCCTGCTCTGCTCGCTTGGCTGCCGTGCCCTGCTCCTGCTCCCTGTGCCCAGATGAGGGGCTGCTGCTGGGGAGGTGTGGGAGTGCTCTGTGGGAGCCTGAGCCTGCCCAGGGACAGGGGAGCACTCCAGGGCAGCAGGGTTGGTGTTAACTGTCTGACTCCTCCGGCTCTTAACGGCTGCTCTGGCAATCTCAGTCCTCAGTTAGACATAATTTTTGTCACTGAATTTATTCAATATCAGTGGTGAATTAAGAACAGATGTCGGCAGGGAAAACCTTGCTGTGAGCTGAAGAGGAGGACTGAGAGCCATGAAGTCCTGTTTGGGCTCTTGTAATCTTCACTTTAAGGAAGTTCTTCAGAGCTGGAGCTGCCATTAATTGTACCTGAGGGATGTGAAGCTGAAAGATCCTGGTGAGAGTGGCCATACTGTGAGAGACAAGTCCTATCCTAGGCATTCCTGGCAGATGAACCAGCCAGGGAGAGGCAGGCAGGTCCAGAGACACCTGCAGAGACATGCAGAGAACTCGGGGTCCCAACATCCACTTCAGTGCTTCTCCTGATCCCTGAATAGGACCCAGTTATGAATCCACCCAGTTAACGATCTCAGCACAAAAGGAAAAGCTGCTCTGGCTTATTTCCATCCCTTCCCTAATGCTGAGGTCCTGCAGTGTCTAAACAAGAGGTGGAGGGCACTTCATCCAGTGAAATTGTTTTTTCCCCTCTTCCTGGCTCCGTGGCTTCCAAACAAAGCCTCAGTTCACAACACTTGAGATGAACCTCCACCAGTGCAGGAGTGTTAATGGGGAGCTGGCAGTGTGCTGCAATATGTATTTCTGCCAGAATCTGCTGTCAGTAAATGTCCACTTCTTGTGAAAGTGTTAAATCAACCATCAGGAATCGTCCCTAAGGATGGATATTACATCTCCTCTACAGTTACCATTGGCAGGGATTTCCATTAGAGACCCTGGTATTTTCCATACCTGTTTTATTCCCACCTGAAGTTTCAGATTGAATGGCAATTTGATGTGCACCGTTTCAGCAGAAGACAAGTTTTATTTGTGAACAAGTTTGTGCAAAATGTCCAGAACAACTCATTCTGCTGGTTTTATGGGATCCTGCCCACAAACAATAAGGGAAGATTTGCAGGCGTTGCTTTGCCAGACAACTGGAATTTATAAATCAGAACGGATGGGCCACGGTGTGCAGTGGAGCTTTGCTTGTATCAGTAATAATTTCTATGAATAAACATCAATAGCAGTTCACTGCTGCTGAAAGGAGGAGGTTTGGCAGTCATCAAGTTCCCTGTTTGTTATGGATAAAGGGCTCGGGAGCTTCTCTGCATCACCTGGGTGCCCCAGACCTGCCTGAATACCCGAGTTCAGCTCTCACAGCCCTTCTGATGAAGGTTTCTCTGCAGGAATGGCCAGAGCGGTGACAATAACCAGCAGACTGGTGAGGGGAGAGGTTAGTTCTCCAGGGAATGGGCTGAACTCCCTCAAAACAGGGATCTTTTTCTGCTGAGGACGAGCAGCAGATGAAAGGCAGTGGGGCAGGGCTGTTGCGCTCAGCTGCACGAGGCACCTGGCAGACAGGGTCGTGCTGTGCCTGCTCTGATTGCTGTTGCTTTTCCTGTTTATGCTTAAGGCCAGACTAGAAACGCAGGGATTTTACAAAGGATCATAGCCCAAGGCATCCCTGCCTGTGGCCAGGCATGTCTGGATCAGAGAGCAGAGGGGAGGGGGGATGCGTGACTGCGCCAGCCGAGAGCCCTCGCTGGGTAAACACCTCTCCTACATGGGCCTGATTTGCCCTCTGGGAGCCTGATTTACCCCCTGGCTGATGGCACCCACCCCTCAGACACTGCTCTCCTCACTCCCTGGGCTGCCCCTGCCCAGCTCCTCTCGGGTGCCTCTCCCAGCCCAGCCAAGGCCATCCCGAGGCACTGGCTGCCCCTTCCCTGCCCATCTTCTCCAGGTTTCAGCCTCGGATCAGGCTATTCCTGGCATGCAGAATCTGCCACTCCCAGGGCTCCCAGGCTCTCTGAGCAACAACAATCACCATTTCAGCCTCTCATTGCACCCCAGGAGGACCCCCTGCTCTGCCCAGGCCGTTCTGTGAGCCCACCCCAGCTCAGCCCACCTGCATCCCAGCAGTCCTGGGGGCTTCATCTCCTGAGTTAGGTGGGTCTTCAGCACAGATTTAATCCTGGCCTGGCTGTTTGGAACTCACAACATCCTTCCTGCTTTATTGTCCCACCTGAAGGATCCCCATTGGTTTATGAGAAGGGGGCACTGAACATGGAGGAAAGCCAGCCCAGATAACAAATTCTCAGTGTGGGCAGCCCTGTTTTCATCACCACAGCTCTATTTGAATGCTGTCTGCAACACTTTTCCTCCTGGGTGTGAAACAAACTTGAACTTGCCCGTTGCAGTGTCCATGGGTTGTTCCTTTCCCCACACCATGGGAAGATGCTGTCGAGGAAGGGCCCATCTGGTTGCAATTTCACTTTTTAAAGCTTTACATAAACACTGCTGTAAAAAGCAATGACATGCAGATCAGGGAACTAATAGCTTCATGTGGGGCCTCAGCAGTGTCATCAGCCCCTGCAGACACACTCAGCCTCACAGGACAGAGAGCAGAGCTCCACCTCTGTCAGAGGACACCTTACAAGAAGAGGGAATTCGGTCCTTTCCAGCTGCTCTGTGTTAATCTCCTTTTTAAATAGTTATCCAAGAAACACCACAGTGCAGGCTGACCATAAATTTTGTGTTAGTTAATGAGGTTGTTCCCAAACCTTCTGCTTCATTTGGCTGACCACAGCTCTGGGAATGGCTGAAGCCCCCAGGGCCCTGTGGCATCTTGCAGGACAGTGGAGGTGACACAGTTTGGGCTCAGTGACTGTCTGGCTGCTATTCCCTGTATCTTATTTCCTGCTTTGGAGGGATTTGCTCCTTCCAACCCTGGCACTGCAGCCTCTGCAGTGAGAGCCCCCTCCCTGCTCTGGCAGTGGGTGTGGGGTGGCAGGAGCTGTGTCCGGGGGGCTCTGCCAGGGGCACAGTGGGCACTGGGCGTTGGCTGGGATCTGTGTCACACACATCACTGGGAGCACAAAGCGCCAGCCCTTCCGCTGGGACACTGTCGGTGTGACAGGCAAGGCTCTTGTGTAAGAGGCTATAAAATCTGTATTTTCAGCTGCATGGAGCTTTCCAGAAGCAGACCCAGCAGGGCAGGTTTGCACAGGCGGTGGGATATTCCCCTGTGGGGCAGAGTCCTGCTCCCCAGGGCTGTCCCCACGTGCCCTTGCCGTGCTCCTGCTCCCCGGGCGAGCGCTGCAGTGCCCGCTGCAAACTGACTGTCACCGTGTCCCTGTAAGGGACACAGTCATTAGCATCTGCATTTTACAGATGGAGGAAGCATTGCACAGAAGCAACTTGTCCAATGTCATTTAGGGCAGATGAGGCAGATCTGAAGCCCAGCCCTGCTCCCGAGCCAGCCCCAGCTCTGCACACAGTGACTCACCCAGCAAACACGTTCCTCCCCCAGGAACTGTACCCCATGCTATGGATGGGGGATTATTTTTGTGTCTTTGCTGCCTAGGCCTTGGGCTCAGAACGTAGCCAGGAGCTGGAGAGGTGGTCCCAGGGCTGCCCCAGTGGAGCAGGACATTGCCATTCAGGAGGAGAGCACAGTGTTACAGCTCTTGCCCTGCCTGTACTGTGGAGAGGAGAGAGGAATTTTGTCCTCAGCTTTTCTTCCAGAGACCTTCTCTGGGAATCAGATATTCATAAAAACCCCAGCTTTCCTCACCTCCCTAACTGGACTCCTGGGATCACAGGATGTGCTGGAGGCAAGATATCTAATTAGGGAACTGAGCAGGCTCTGGCTGTGAGTGGTGGTTTCAGCCTCGGTGACGTTGTGGCAGCTGCGGGAGCGAAGCTGTCCCTGCAGGGTCCCTGCTGTTTAATGGGGTTTTGGAAGTGGCCACAGGAGGAGAAGCACAGCTGCTGTGTGGCAGAGGGAGCTTTGTGTCCCAGGAGACTTCAGAAAATAAGTTGCTTTTATAGAAAATAAGAAATTAAACTGTCCAGTGCACACCTGCTCCTGCAGTCTGGATACCTCCTCTGGACTGGGCTGGCCTGTGTCTGGGACATGCCCGGGGTCCCCAAGCCTCCTTGGTGCTGTGCCCTGGCCCATGTTTGTCCTCGGGAGCACAGAGCCCATTTCTGAGCAGTGAGAATGGCTGTTTTCAGGAATTCCAAAGGAATGTTTGGAAGAGCCAGACACAAAGATGCTTTCCTGACAGCTGATGTGACATGGAGCCAGGCAGGGTCAGGAGCTCTCTGTGGGTGTCCCGAGCCAGCGAGCAGTGCTCTGTGTCCCACCCCAGCCAGCCAGCCCTGGGGCCAGCCCGGGGCCAGCCCGGCACAGCCGCCCCTGGCACTGCCCTGGGGCCTCACTCACGTGGTCGATGAGCTCCTTGATCATGCCATTCCACTGGCCCTTCTCGTCCTGCGCCCCGTACTTCCCGTCCTCCACCAGCCGGATCTCGTAGGAGAAGCCCAGGATGATGGCCAGCTCCTTGAGCAGGTCGATGCAGTAGCCCTCGAAGCGGTCGTTCCCAAACAGGGCCGTGTCGGACTTTCGGAACATGACAAAGGGCTCCTCCTGCACCAGGGGAGGCAGAAAGTCCCCATCAGGGTCAGCTGGAGGCAGGGCCACCCCTGTGGGTCAGCCCGAGCCACCGGGCACCAGCTCTTCAGGCAGGGCTGGCACCGTGACATGTCGAGAATAAATTAACTTTGCACAGCACATCAGCTAATTAGCAACCTTGTTTACCCCACAAAATTTAATTTTGTCTCTCTGAGCAGCCAACTGTTTTCCATTTGGTAGGATTTCAGGGAGAAAAATAACCATTTCATGCTCTGAAAATGAAGTGTTAGAAACAGTAAAAGAGGGGGAGGACAAACTCACCCCTGAGTCCTGCACCCAGGAGCTGCAGTGAGCAGGGGGCTGGTGGGTGAAATTCGGGGTGAGGGGGCTGTGCATGGCTGGGGCCACCCCAAAACGTCCCCCATTCAGCTCGTGTTGCTCTGTGCTGGCACCACCTGATGGACACGGGGCCCTGCTGCTGCCCAGGGAAGCTCTGTGCCTGTGCTGCAGGTACAGCTGCCCTGGCAGGGCTGGGGGTGCAGAACCACGGCAGAGCTGAGCCCCAGCACAGGGGAGGCAGAAGTACTCTGTGACCTGTGGGTCTGTCCCCTCCAGCAGGGGCACAGGAGGGCACACAGTGAAGGCCAGAGCCCGTTGGTGACTCTCAGGCTTGGGCAGCCACCGAGGACGAGGGACACTGGGGAGCCCGAGGGAAAAACGTGTGGAGGACAGATGGAAATGGGAAAGGATGGTGGGCAGCAGGCAAGGGCTGGAAGGCAAGTGGAGGGTAAAGCATCTCCAGCAGTGAGACTCAAATCAGGGGTGTCTGCAGGGCTCCTGCCCTTGCTGGGAGTGGCCAGTGTGGGGAGGGCTCGTGCTTTGCTCTGGTGACCAGCCCCTGTGGGATTGCTCAGGGATGGGGGGCTCGAGGAGGTGGGAGAGGAGGTCTGGAGCCCTGGTTAGAGCTGGGCTTGGTGGGGGTGGGCATCCTGCCCAGGGTGTGCTCCAGGGAGGGGCTCAGGGCCCAGAGTGGGACTGTGCCAGCCAGGAGGCTGCTGGCTCTGGTCACCTGCCAGGCCCCCCCTCTGTGTGCCCCTGGAGGGGACAGGGGGCCCGTCTGGCCTCGCAGCAGGGTCAGGGGGGACGTGGGAGTGCCTGGACCCACTTGCAGAGTTCTAAAGCCCGACTGATCTCCTCAGCCTGGCACGCGCTGCTCGGCTCAGCCCCGCTCTCCCCGCCGCCTCCTCGGCTCTCTGCTCTGGAATTAGTGCTTTGTTTGGGAATCAGCTGAATCCATGGATCCTGATATAAATACGCCGGCTCCAGAGCAGCCATAAAGCACTATTAATTTTGGGAAGCGCTGTAGGGATTACATACATATTTAACAGCCGAAGCACTGAACATTAGGACGCCACTCGCTTCAGTAATGTATCTCCAGGTCTCAAACATTTCCTAGGGGGTAATTCTGAACTCTGTGAACCACTTATTCACGGACTATTTCACAATTTATTACTGAAAATGGCCAGACATCCAATTCACAAGCTCTCTCGGTTTGCTAATCGATTTCTCAGTGAAGGTGCCCTCAATTTCATAACTTCACAGTTCCCATATTGCTTGGGGAGAGCAGTGCTGGCTGCTGGGGTAATATTTCTCTTCCAACAAGTCACTGCAATATGAGCAAAAGGGGAAAAAAATAACCTTTCATGCTTTTCCTTTTAGAGGCTCCTCCTATGGCTTTTCTCCCGTCATTTACAGTAGTGCAGAAGTACAAAGGGGTGTTGCAAATGCAAATAACATTTAGGGTTGTACTTTATATTTTAGACACCAGTATACGAAATGCAGTTACTGCAGAACTCAGGTCTGAGCACGTTCCCTCCTCCTGCAGGCACAGGGATCCCAGGGTGGCTGGGGCTCCAGGGTGGGTACCCCATGCATGTGCCCAGGCCCACAATTAATGGGAACTGGTATCACCCTGTGCCTTATGTAATTTGTACAAGCTCACAGAGCACGGGATGGAAATGCTGCCTGAAAAAAGCATGTCCAGGGCAGATGGCTGACAGTCCCCTCCTGGCCCCATCCATGTGCATTATGGTGTGGCCTTTGAGGTGCAGGGAGTACCACAGCCCAGGCCCAGACCTTTCCACAGCCATGGAAATGTTTCATTGGAACAAATGCCATGTGGTGGATGGGAAGTTTGTTAGGAGGAGTGACTGATTTGCAAGGAGAGCTGCAGCAGCATCTGCCTCTGGCTCACGTTCTGCTTCCACTCTGCTCACCCCTTGCTGAGGGACACAATACCTCTGGTTCCAGCCTTTCTTCTGCCCTGGACCAGGTGTTCCCTTTCTCTATTCCCCTCTGGGTACTCTCAGTCCTATTCCTTTCACAATACAAATCCCCACTTTATCAGGTCACATCCTCTTGGGAAGGGAAGGACGTTACAAGGGATCACACTGCTCCGGACTGGGGAATGCATTCCCACTGGCTCTGTTCTGTCTGTACCTTTGTGTTCCCTGAAAACATGGAACATAAAAGGGCCAGAAAATTTCCCAAGGCAAGCCTGTAACTCAGCACCATTTTGGGGCAGGTTGGCCAAGGGCTGATGTGTTTTGTTGCTTCCCAGTGACAAACCACGAGCCGTGTGGGACCCGATGCCACCAGTCATAATTCATTAGCTGGCCAATAAAACCTCATTGTGATCCAATGCCTGCTGTCAGATCCAATAGTGAGCGGGAGAACAGAATGCAGCACGACGGGGAGAGCGGGGGAGACCCGGCAGTGAGCTGGAGATCCCTGATATCCAGGGACAGGGCACCTCAGTGCAGGGACAGGGCACTCTGGTGCAGGGACAGGGCACCTCAGTGCAGCAACAGGGCACCCCAGAGCAGGGACAGGGCACCCCAGAGCAGGGACAGGGCACCTCAGTGCAGGGACAGGACACCCCAGAGCAGGGACAGGGCACCTCAGTGCAGGGACAGGGCACTCTGGTACAGGGACAGGGCACTCCAGAGCAGGGATAGGGCACCCCAGAGCAGGAACAGGGCACTCCAGAGCAGGGACAGGGCACTCCAGAGCAGGAACAGGGCACTCTGGTGCCCAGCTGAGCCCAGCCCTGTCGGGGCCTCTCCCGCAATCTGTGCTGGGGGCTGCGAGTTTTCAGAGGGGTTTTCAGAGGGGTTTTCAGAGGAGTTCTCTGCTCAGAGCGGTTTTCAGAGGTATGGGGTGTCCCTGGGGGGGAGGACAAGGACAGGAGGGCAGTCTCCTACCAGGACTGTGGTGACAATCAGAGATCTGTTGCTCAGCGAGTCCGTGACGTTCGGGCCTCGTCCTCGGGAGATTTCCGTGATGTTCAAACCGTCGGAAGGGCTCCAGGCTCCCACCTGAAAGAAACCAAAGCAACGAGTGAACCCCCTCCTCACCTTCCTCAGTCCCTTTCTCGCAATCCTCGCTTGCTCCCAGCATCCTACTGGCCTGGAAGAGGGAACTTCCTTCTTTCATCTACAGTAAACAGCAGCAAAGCTGGAATTACCGTCTTGTCTCACCCAAGAGAACCAACCCTTCAGCTGCAGGTCACTCCAGTGGCACTGGGGCTGAATGAATGAACAATTTGCAAAGGCACTGCATAGAGCAACAGTCAGACCCCACTAAAGAGTCAAATCTGGGCAAGGGTAAAGCACCACAAATCTGAGGTCATTTTCTTTCTTCTCTGTTACCCCACCGCTTTGCTTTGGTGAGGAGGATTAAAAATGACTCAAACAGCTCCACAGATCCCTGGAAGGAGCCATTTCTGCCCTCTGTGCCATCTGTGGGCATTTCTAACACATCCCTTGTCAGGGCCCTGGGCCACCCTTCAGGGAAATGCCTCAGTCCTGGCAGCACATCTGGAGGAAGGGATGGCAGCAGCCCTGCCCAGGCACGGCACAGGCACACCAGCTCCATTTCAGGTGCTCTGTTTCTCTCAAGCTGTCAAATTTAATAAATTATTAGACTTTGAAGAAGTCCATTGATCCAGAAATGCCAAACATGTCTGTATTTACCAGCAGTGATCTGGGCAGCGCTCAGCCTGTTAACCTGATCTCTGCAGGTGCAGGGGAGGCTCTGGGACAAACTTTGAAGGCAGGAGTGGATGAAGGACTGTGACGGGGAGAGAAAACGTCAGGAAGGCTGGAGGGATGTGGGGCTGCTGCCAGCAAACAGAGCAGGGTGGCCACGGAGCCAAACTGACAGCGAGAAAAAACCAAACCCCACCTGGAAATGGGAACAGAACGATCCATCTGTAGGGTCAAACTGCGAGGTGGGACGCGCAGAGAAGCCAAAGGCAGCCAGCTCAAACCGCCGGGGAGCCAGCAGCTTCCCATCTTTTATTTATTGCTGTTTTTAAGATTCTTCAGCCTCTTCAGCAGTCCAAGGGGAGAACTTGGTTTTACTGCATCCCCAGAAAGAGACTTTGTAATGAGCAATGCTGCCTGGCAAAAAAAAGTGTCATAAATTCTAGAAGAGTTTCCACGAACTTTGTGAAAGGTTTTAAATATTTCAGGTAAAACTGAAGCAATCCCCATCTCTGCCTTGGATCACACAACAGCTGCAATGTCAAAAAATTATTATTATTGTGAATGGGAAAGGAGAAGCAAGTCCAAGAGGCCCCAGATTGCTGCACTGCAGCTCCAGACACCTCTGCCTTGCTACGTTTTCTTTAAGAAAATTAAATACATGGCACTTAAGACTGAATTAATCAGTTTAAGATATTAAAAAAGGGAAGGAAAAGGAAAAAAGTGCATTAAGAGAAGAACTGCGCGAGTCAGATAGTCAAACTACACGTAATTAGGTTTCGTTAATACTCCTGTAATCCCTGGAACATCCAGGAGCTATGAGGGAATCAGGGGTTCAGTCCTAAAGCTCAGCAAACATAAGCTGTGATACATAATGCACAATCCGGGTGGGATTTGTTTGTGGGCTGGTGTTTTGTTAGTTCAGATTAACTATTGACAGAATCCCTGCTTCAACAGAGATTTGACATCGATACTTTAAAACCCCTCTGGAGCTGACAGGAAGCTTTCAGAGAAATAATAGTGGGAGCTGTGAAATCTCTGAATTATTGGAGACAAAAGCTGACGGGGTGTGCAGGGGCCGTGTCGGGGTTTGGCGGCTTCCAGCGGGTTTGGTGTGACACAGATCTGCAGTAAATCCAGCTGGTGCCAGCTGGGAGGGGAGGGGGTTTGACAGGTGATGCTGCAGCTCTGCTGAACCTTTGGGTTCACGTGGTGTCAAGCACTGGCACGTTTTCTATTACCTGACCAACAGAGCTCCAGAGCGTCGGTGCTGCTGGACTTGGAAAAGGCCTGGTTTATTTTTGGTTTAGACTCTAGGAACAAGGCTGCAAAAATCAGCTCTTGTGAGATGGTGGCATCTTCCCCCCCTCCTTCCTTGGGGGTCACTGGGTTGATTTGAAATGTTTTCTTTATTCTGTACTTGACACCAGAAGCTCCCCACCCGCAGAGGGCCGTGGTGACCTTGTGCTGTGTTACTGAGGCACGGAGCTGCTGCTGTGGGGGGAGTGTGGCAGCAATTCCTGCCAAAGCCAAGGAAAACAAACCGGGGGGAAGGGGATGGGGCACAGGCTGGAGGGTCCCCGGGAGCCTCGTGGTGCAGGATCTGTCCCCTCCAAATGGAGGGTTGACCCATGGCTGCCTCCAGCCCCGGGGCTGCCTCCCTGTGCCGAGTGATTAATTCCCTGGAAAAGTCACCTGTGCTCGTGGTCCATGTGCTGCAGAGTTAATTGAAACCCTCCCTACTCCCAGCCGGGTGTCCCGTGGACACAGAACCTGTCACTGCCCAGAGGTGACAAGCCCAGCACTGTTCTGGCTGCCAGAGGCACTTTGTACCTGTTGGAAATCAGACTCTGCTCTAGAAGGGGCCTTGCTGCCCTGCCAACTTCCTCCTGTACAGGTGCGAGGCACCTGTGGCAGAACGGGGACACAGTCATCACAGAGGGGTCAGAGCAGAGAATTCCTTGGGAATCACACTCACTGCTCTCTGTCTTCAACCAGCTGGTCTCACCTTGGAACCCACATTCTAAGGGCTTTAAGGCTTGCATGTTGCCTTTTTCTTTTCTTTTTTTTTAAAGTATTTGAAGAAAAGGAAATTAAATCCTCAGGAACACCCGGGATCAGATTTGTGCATCAGCCTCGTATTTCTGTGCCCAGAGGAGATTTGCACTAATTTGGAGGATCCAAGGCTGCAGCCTTTTTGCCCTTGGCCCTCATGACCCCCCCAGCCAGCCAGGCAAAACCAAACTTTGCTGTTTTCCTTATTGTCCCTTAGGCAATAAAATAAAATACCCACTGCATCCTCCTGCGAAATCCAGGCTGGGATCAGCCGGTGCCATTCCCAAGCCTTGGGCAGGGTCACGGTGGGAATTCACACCAGGTGATGCTCCCCAGAGCTGTGGCCTCCAAGAGCCAAGGGTTTGTGAGCCAGGCCAGCAAGAGCGAGTGGGACAGGAGATATTCCTGCCTGGCCTGGGCAGGGAAGGGTTACTGGATGCTCAGAAAGTGTCTTCTGCCTCTGTTATCCCAGGAAAGTGCTACAAGCACTTCTGCAATCTGTAATCCCACGCTCTGGCTTCAGGGCGAGTGAGTCATGGTTGAGTCGTGGAAAGGGATCTGAGAAATCCCACAAAGTGAATATCCTTTTATATAAACCCCAGAAACCTGGAATCAGTACAACGCCAACCATTTCTCTGTTGCTTGAGCACCAGGGTTTAGCCTCAGCCACATGCAGATAAGACAAGCCCTGCCTACCTTTTCGAGTCCGTCTTCTTTGAGGCTGATGATATCCAAATCAAAATCTGTCCGTAAACCACTGGTTTTATTGAAGACGATTCGTCCCGTTAATCCTTCCCACTGGGCCTGTGCAAGGGAGAAAAAGTAGCAGGGCTGTTACTTGGTATCATAAATAATCTTTTGCCCTCCACTGTATGTTCTTTTAATTAGTCCTTATGCTGGATCTTTCTCCCTAAAGAGCCTGATTAATTAATAATCCCCCCGTCACTGCTCAGGCTGCAGACGGAGCTGGAGATTTTCTTAACTCTCTTGCAGTCCTTGCTACAATTTCTGTTCGCACCTTTTGTGTTCTCCAGCTGTTGCAGGATGTGATGACTCAGTAGAAAACACTGGTGTTTATCAGGGCATCCTTGTGGCTCTGTTTATCCTTGTGGTGCTGATAAAGGCTGGCTGCAGGAGCCGGCTCTGGGGCAGCTCCCCTCGAGTTCAGAAACAACCCCTTTGTGCACGAACCTACTGCTGCTTCCAAGGGGTGTGGAAGCTGAAATGGCCTGAACGCTTCCCTCTGTCCTTCCAGGTGGACAGTGGAGCAGAAGGGGCCAAGAGCTTGTCCGTGCAAGCAGGCTCTGTGGTTTGGAAACGGGCACAGGAGTCTGGGGTGGGTGCTGCCTGAGTCCCTGGTTCACTCTTTGGCAGCACAAGGACGAGGCAGGTGCCCAGTGGGGCTGGAGACACCCTGTTCCTGGAGATTTTCAGTGCTTGGCTGGCCAAGGTCCTGCACAGCCTGGTCTGACTGGGGAGCTCGTCCTGCTCGGAGCAGGACCTGGGGGTAAAGATGCCTAAATTTGATTTAACCAAAATTATTCTGGGATTCTGTTTCTCTCGCACTGTAGACTTTGCAGCACCCCCAGAATTAATGTCTCTGATTTAGGAGGTGAGAGAGCCCCTGTACCAGCTGCTCCCAGTACCAGGAGGTGTGCAGTGCCTGTGCTGCCCAGGACAGTGCTGGCTGTGCTGGAGCACCATCCCGAGGGGATGCTCCCGTGGGAATGCCAGGCTGCTGCCACGGTTTGCTGCTCTGCAGTCACATCCCCAGCTGAGCCTCGGGCTGTCCCCCCTGCACAGCCCCCTGTGCTCCCCTCGCTGGGAAACGTGTTTCCTTTATGGGTGGGGGAGCTTGAAATGTCCCGTGTGATGGAAGTGGCACAGTGATTCTCGGGGGAGTGACTGGCGTGTCTCCCAGCAGATCCGCTGCTCTGGCTCCCCCTCATTAATTCCTGAGGAGCAGTGACAGCCTGCTCCCAGCCTGGCCCCCCAGAGTCCCGGGAGGGCTGGTGTTTGCTCACTTGGGCGTGCAGGTGGTTTGCCTGTGGAGCCCCCCGGGAGCCAGGGCAAACACGGAATGTTTGCTGTGCCCGACTGGAGCAAACACAGCTGTGTGTGGAGCCCGGCAGCTCTGCGGGGCTGCACAGCCCGGCTGAGGACCCAGCCTGGGGCTGCAGGACCAGCCTGGGGCTGCTCTGCCTCAGGAGTTTGGAGGGAGCAGTGCCGGTGTGGTTGGTTGCAGCAGGGAGAGGCTGATCCCTGCAACGGGCTGACACGGTGCCAGAGAGGAAAACAACAGGCAGGCACTGGAGTGTGAGGCACAGGGTGATTTGCAAAAGGAGCCAACCAAACAAATTATTTACACTCTGTTTTGGCAGCCAGCTGGAGTGATGCTCTGCAGAGGGAACAAAGCATGGAAAAGGAGAGAGAGGCAGGGAGAGGACAGATTCCATCCTCGGTGCCTGTTAAGGGAAAAGTTCATTCTCTCTCTGCAGTGGGAACTGTTCTCCTGTTCTCCTCCCTTGGCTCTGTGTGCTCCATGTACAGCTCTGGCAGTGCTGGGGTGGGCACAGTCTCATGGCACCGATGGCTCAGCAGGTGACAGCAGCCAGACCATAGTAACGACTGACAGTGTCCTCTGCTCTTCTCTTGGAAAACTTCAGAGGGTTTTATACCCAGCCTATAAATGTGGCCCAGTCACACACCCAACACAGCAGCCAACCCTTGGCTCACCATGGGAAGAGCCACAGGCGCCGAAGTTTAAAAAGCACTTGGGTAAATAAGGGGTTTATCACAAAGAGGGCTCTCAGGGTGTGCAGTGTCTCCCTCCAGCTCTGCCTTTGTTTTTCCTTAGGTGAGGGCTTGTTTTTGCAGACTGAGTGTGCACCCCAGGGCCAGTCTCAGTGACACATGGGAGGTTTCAGCTCCTGGGGGATGTTTTGGTGTGGCTGCATGGGTGTTATTTTGAAGGCAGAGGTTTTTTCTTTCCGGGTGCCCTGGTGTGTGTCTGTGCTTCCACCCAGCTGTACCTGCCCGGGCAGGGGATGTTTCCTGACCCTGGACCCGCCGAGCCTCCTCCCCCCGTCCCCGTGCTGGCCCCCCCAGCCAGGCCCCTCCTGCTGGGAAGTGCTGTGGTCCCCAGCCAGGCTTTTACCTCCTTGATGAAGTTCATGAAGCGGCCGCCGAACCTCCAGGCCTTGTGGCGGTGGCACTGCAGGGAGTTCACCGTCATCTGCGGGGCGCGCTGGTAGCACACGGACACCACGTGCACGGCGTCGTACAGCAGGGCAGCGTCTGTCTAAAGGGAGGGCAGCAGTAGGGTGGCCATAGTGGCCCCCGAGCCAGGGGGCACTCGGGGGGGCCGTGAGGTGTCGTAGGAGAAGGTGGAACCCTCCCTGAGTTACCTCCTGCCAACACCCACAGACCCCAGGGTTCCTCTGTCCGTGTCCCACCGACTATCCCTTGGCTCTTTAGACCAAAAACTTGTAAGTTCTGTCTAAAATCAGTGATTTTTAGAAGTGTCATTTGTCTGTGAGCAGCTATTCTGGTTGTTTCTTGCACATTTCCTGCTGTGGTGTCAAACAGGGAGGCAGCGATTTCTAAATGTAGAAGATAGTAACAGAGTTTTCCTATTGAGTCTGTTTTGTCTGAGTGCAAAAAAACCCCTATATGAGAACATATTTTCCACACTATTTTATACATGGGAAAATAAGAAACAGGGATGTTAAACGGCTTGTTTATGGGCACAGAATTTTTCAAAAACGACCCAAACTGTCACCAAAATCAGGACCTTGTGAATTTGTAACATATTTCAGCATTTCAGTGATTTCAACTAGGGGGAACTTTTTTTTTCTTCCATGTAATATGATGGTTTTAGATTCAATTTGAGATGCCCTATCTCACCTCCAAACACTGATCAAGAGAATTGGATTTATTTTTCACTCCAGTGTGGTAAGACCTCCTAGTGGAAATGCATTATTTGCTGGCTTCACAGAGCCACAAAACAGATGCGAGTGTAGCAGCATCATAATAAACCACAATAAACCAAAATAACATAGCAAATAACTGGGCAAACATCTAACAGGACGTAGCCATGGAGAATATCCTCCAGTGCTGGCAGCCATCCCCGTGACCTTCCCTTCCCTCAGCACCCGAGCATGAAGAGCAGGAGCCTGACCTGCCTCCGTGGGGGGGTGAGGGCCACAGCAGGGACAGGCTTTGTGAATTTGGGGCTGGGGAAGAGCGGGGCAAGGACACGTCCAGGCAATTTCATGGGGAATTACAGACTGCAATGCCCAGCTGAGCCCTCGCCCTCGCTGGATGGACACCTGGCAAACACAAATCCAAGGCAGCTCCCTCTGGGGGAGCACACGGGGGCTGGGGAAGGAGGCAGCACTGGGGGCTCAGCTGGGGCAGGGGAGCCAGGGGGCTGTGTGGGCTCCTCCAACAACAAAGGGAACAGGAGGGATCCGAGCAGCCATTTCAAGGTGAAGGTCTGGGAGGCTGTGCCGCTGCCGGGCTGGTGCTGGCAGAGCTGAAGGGAGGGAAGGAGGGAGCAGTCAGCAGTCGCGGGGTCGGGACGGCCTCGCAGGGAAGACAGATGGGCGAGCAGGTGCTGTACCTTCCGAGCAGGAACTCGGCGGAGCAGAGCTGCCATCAGCCCCTAAAAGGAGTCATCAAACTGCAGCACAGCCCATCTCAGGGCAGTGCTCTGGTGCTTTGTCCCTGCACCAGCCTGAGCACTGCCCGGCTCAGCCCAGCCGGTGCTCCCAGCACAGACCAGTGCTGCTGCTCCCGGGGCTGAGGGGGGCTGGCACCCCTGGGACAGGCCTGGCTGCCTCTGCTGGGAGCAGATCTGTTGGCAGCTGGGGCCGAGCAGGAGCGTTAACACAGCAGTGGGGTTCGGGCTCCACTGCCAGACTCGCTGCTCGGAGGGGCAGTTATTGCGGAAGGCAAGAAACTACCTCGGGGCAGATACCGGGGGTCAGTTCTTACTGGTGCAAGAGCCAATAAAAGTAACATTTAGGTCTTAACGACTGTTCCTGCCTTTCCTACCCCCACCCCCCGTGCCCTCCCGTACCATCATCACTCCATCGAGCAGCCCCAGCTCCGCCTTGGGCGCCGACTGCAGCCGCTCCATGGCCCACTTCTCGATGATGGAGGACACGTGGGGGTTCTCCACGTTGAGGATCCGGAAGCCGGTCAGGTTCACCCCAGAGTAGCGATATGGTTCTAGGTCTAATGCATAAAGATCCTTAAAAGAGAGAAACCGGTTTAAACATTTTGTTTAGCTTTGTTTGGTTTGAGTTTTCTGCGTCGGTTCGTGTCTGTGTTTGGAGCGAGACAGCAGAGCCCTCAGAAGGTGGGAGGGAGGACACATCCCTCAGGAATTCAGAGGACTGTGCCGTCTGTTGCCATCACTCTCTGCTTGCAGAGGCTTGGAGGTGTTGGTGGAATTTGGGTGCCGTATGTGCAGGTTCCCACACACACAGCGTAAGGGAACTCCTACCAAAGAGCCAAGAACTCGCTCTCTGCTTGAAAGAGACAAATAAATTGTGGGGAGAAAACCAGAATCACTGCCTGTGACCCTGAAAAAAGAGATTTGCGACCCAGGGAGGGAGGATAAGGCAGAACTCCTGTATCTGAAGCTCCCGGGGGCCTTTCCACGAAGGATTTGCTGGGAGTGCTGAAGCCCACGGGGTGCTGTGGATGACAGAGTCACTCTGAATGCAGAACACCAATTTGCAGACTATCAAAGAGGAACTAAGACGCATTTCTTGACATTCCGACCAGCCTACACAGTCTGCAGATGAATGAGGGTGCCCTTTATAGGATGTAAAGAGCCCAGAGCCAGGCAGTGCTCGGCTCTGCTGGCTGCTGGCCCGTGAGCATCGCTTGGCAGGCACTGAGGGGGCACTGGGGGGGCACTGGGGGCACTGCTCTGGTGCAGCTCTGGGCTCTCCACATGTCTGAATATCAGCTTCAGTTCAGGGATTAACTGCAGTGCTCAGGAGCTAGTCTGGGTAGGCTGGGGTTGGACAGCACGGCAGGAGCATGTCCAGCTGCTCTGCTCCCCAAATCCAGGCATCTCCCGAGGGGCTGAGCCAGGCAGTGAGTGGAGACAGCAGGCAGGAGATGTGTAATGGCTTTGTTAATGGGAACATATTTAATGGGACATATTTAATCAGGGCTTGCCCTGAACAACTTCTGCAGGCATTTAATAGTAGTAAAAAGGGGGGAGGCGAGAGGGCAACAGCACTGTCCTCTGTGATAGGGTGTGGGGTGAGTGTGGGAGAGACATTCACTGCTCTCACAAGGGCCTGGAAAAAGAGGTGAAATACAGCACGAGGGGCTGTGGCTGTGGCTGTGCTCTCTGTTGGGGCTGTGCTCTGGGATGGGGCTGTATTCTGGAATGGGGCTGTGCTCTGGGATAGGCTGTGCTCTGGGATGGGGCTGTGCTCTGGGCTGGGGCTGTGCTCTGGGCTGGGGCTGTGCTCTGGGATGGGCTGTGCTCTGGGATGGGCCATGCTCTGGGATGGGCTGTGCTGGTGGACACAGCCATGCTGTGGGACCAGCAGCATCCGTCAGCAGCGAGCTCTGCTGTGCCCATGGAGGGCTGGAGGAGTCCCACACACGCTGCCCTAAGCAAAGCAGAACAACAGCAGCACTTGCCAGCAACTAAGACTTCATTCTCCACGGGGGAGTGAGGGTTCTCACGGCTGTTTTGCTTTAATAAGCTTTGGGGGGTTGATCTTTCCCGTAAGCCTGGCCTGGCCTCGCTGCTGATGGATGCAGTGCTTGAGCCTGCAGGTGCAGCGGGACCGAGTCATTAATCACCTCACAACAGAGGTCAGGCCTTGGCTGTTTGTGGGGTTTTTTTCCCCCTGAAAAATTGCAGTTCAGACTTGCATGTTCTGTTAAAGGGCACTGTGAAAACCAGGCTATGATGGTGACTTTTAAATGACTTAGGGCAGCTGAGGGCCAATACAGTTGTTTGACCTCAGACAGGTGCTCATGTCAGCTGGCTGTGAGGGAGGGCAGCATTCCTGTGCCTGACCCACTGGAATAAATCTGTTTTTTCAAGATTCATAACTTTTAATCAGACACTTCAGTTTGTATTCTGGCCATCTCTTAGATCCTGCCAGTATTTTGGGTGCCCTCCCTGCCCTGTTGCTCCCCACTGACCCTTCCTTTCACCAAGTTCCTACAGAAACCAAGCTCCCATCAGATCACTTCTGGGTTCCACTTTAAATCTCAGCTGCAGCCAGATTTATCAGCTCCTGGAACCAGAGGATAATTCAGAACACCAGCTGAGCGTCAGGGCGTGGGGAGGTGTGGAGGAGAATCACCAGATCAGTTTCTTCTGGATTTTCTGCTCCTGCACAGCCACAAATTGAAACATCTGGTTCTATTTTCCACCTCATCTACATTCCCTTTCACTCATTATTTTCTGTGCTGCAGATTAATTCTCCCCTCACACCCTGTATTTCATTCCTGGTGTTCCTGTGATGCTCTCCCCCCTCCCCAGTTAACCCATCCCGGGTTCCTCGGGGGTGGTGGCAGTGCTGGGGACTGATCCTCACCACCTCCTGCACCCACAGGCAGAGGTGGAAATAGGGGTGTCCAGGGAGGGCATCCCGGTGTGGAGCCCATGGGGGAGGTTCCCCCACAGCTGGTCGGGAGCCCTGGGCGGACACAGCTTTGTCCAGGGGGCTGGGAATTGGCACATCTGCCAGGACTCACTTCACAGGCTGCTGAAAACCCCCAGGATTTGCAGCTTAGGGGTTCTCCCTGCAGGGACCTGGGTGTCAAAGCTGTGTGTGCCAGGGATGGGGGCTCAGCAGTCCCAGTTCCTCCTCCCCCTCCTCCTCCTCCTCCTCCTCCTCCTGTGGAAAAGGCTGATGGGGCTGTGCCGGAGTCAGTGAACTGTAGTCGTGCTGCCTAGCAAAGTGTTGAAGCATTTCATGCCAAGTGTTGATACACTGTGCTCAGTATTGACTGGGGACCTTTTAGAAACATTCAGTATAACATAATAGACTAATTCATTAGCACCCCATGGGTCTCGTACTGGGGAAGCTGAAGCACAGGCATTGCAAGCTAGGAAAACATTGCCTTAAGGAATGACAGATTAAAATATCTTTCCCATGATATAACTGTTATTTCAGGAAAGTGGCATTAATTGTGATTGCTTATCTATTAATTTATTATAATTCCTCTTTTCCCACCTCCAGGCTGTACCTACACATGAAATGTACTCCAGGCTCAGCTGGGGCTGATTAATAGGAGGTTATCTGGGAAATGCTTAAAGCTGCCTGGAATAGATAATGGCAGCAGGGGTAATTAAAATGTCTTTTGCATTTGAAAAATAAATTTTGCAGTTTTTAAGGGTTAGTTTAGTCTGTTTCTTTCCTAAAGGCAAAAAGATAAATTGGATTTTCAAAATCACACAAAATTCAACAGTAGACTAGACAATAGCATCTTAAATGGAGACACAAGTGGCCCTGCCAGGAAAGCCAAATGCCTCCAGGAGCCAGAGAGGAACTGGCCTGTGTTTAACAGAGGGGAGTTAATGTCAGGCTGAGTTCATCCTCTGCAAAATAAACCTGCAGGAATGAACTCTGGACCGCAGCAGGCTGCTCCTGGCTCTGCAGGGAGATCTGGGAGGGCACACAGTGCTCATCCTCAGCTCCTGCTGAAACAGGGTCCCACCAAACCCCGTGTGGGGGCTGCAGCCTGGCACACTCACTGTGCTCACCCCAGTGCCCAGGGAGCTGCACCCAAACCAAAGGGACTGGGAGGGGAAATGAAACCAGAACCCACACCCATGCCAGCCAGAGCTACTCCGTAGGAATGACCCGTCCTGAAGGAGGGGAAGGAAGAACTGCCATCTCTCAGGTGACCCCAGCCCTGCTCTCCCCTCTGTAGGGTTCCCTTGCATTTCCCACCCCACTGCAGTGCCCGCCTGGACTGGACCCCCACCCCACCCAGCAGGGAGGGTACGAGGTGTGTGCACAGACAGATACTTTACCAGGGTGGTGAAGATGAAGTGGTAGTACTCTGTCATCATTCCCATTGCCATGGCCTTGAGGAGAGGAGGGAAAGGAGGTTAGTGAAGTAGATACAAGAATATAACATCCCTTCCCCTTCAGTGCCCACCTGTGTCATGACTCTGCCTGTCCCTCCTCCATGGGCATGACAGTGGGATCCTAACTGAGTGCCTGGTTTAGAAATGGGGCTGTGAAGGCACAAGGATGAGGAGTGGGAACATCCCCCATCCCTCATCCCTCTGAAATCATGTCCAGACCCTCGGGCCCTTGGCCAGCCCAGCTCCAGGCTCCTGCCAGCCCCGGCACAGAGGATGGCTCGTGCAGATTGCTGGGCTCTGCATAGCTGAGCACTGCAGAGAACAGGCTGTCCTGTGAGCTCTGCCAGAGCACAGGCGTGGGCTGAAGGGGCCTTGGCTGGATGACCATGTCCAGACCCTGCACAGCACAGGGGAACACGTTTGAGTCTATGAACAAGGTCACCTTGGAGCTGGTGGCTGGTGACTGGGAAGAGATTCCCATGGGTTTGCCTGGGATGCTGACTCTGTGAGCATGTTTTCTGGAGAAAACACATGCAAGAGCACTTTAAAATCCCCACTCATGGGAAAGTGACTTCAAGTCCCCGCCGGTAACATTTGCTTCCCTTGGATTTTGTTAAAATTACTAGGGCGGAATTTAGCTCCGAGGAAGGAAGTGACAGTCTGAGAAGAAGTGAGACATCAAAAAACAGGGGAAAAGGAAAGGCTCTGGATTGTAAGCCTACATATTGTGACTCCAGCGTGTGATTTCACCCAGGTTTCCTGCTCTGGGAGTAGCTTTCAGAAGGTCTGGAGGCTGTTGCTGTGTGGCCACGTGCTGTCCTATCCTGTTCCCCCCATCCCTGCCTGGCTGGTGGATCTGCTGGGCTGCATTGTAGCTCCCTCCCTGCTGCACACCCTGGTGCAAAGAGCTGGAGCACCTCAGTATGGGAAGCATCAGTTAGAGATGGGAAAGCAATCAGGAGGAAATCATGAAATTCCAGTTCGGGTCCATTTTGGATCATTTTGGATGTAGGTGAGGAGCCCAGAGCTGCTGTAGGAAGGAGGCTCTGGCTCCCCAGCACTGGCAGCCCAGGGCAGGATGCATCTGGGTTTGTGGGGAAATGAATAAATGATCCTGCTGGTGGATAAGCCACGGGGTGGGAGCAGCAGCTCCTGTAGAGCTGCCAGGCCCAGCTGTGCCCTGCAGGGGCTGCTCAGGACAGAGCTGTGGGGGAGCCTCAGAGTGCATGTGGAGTGATAACCAGGGACCAAAACCAAGGAAGGCTGGAGAACCTGGGGCAGGATGGGAAGGACTGACTCTCCAGGAGATGGATGGCTTTGGCTTTGCCCAGTTTGTACTTTGGGTGTAAAAGTGCTGTTCCACAAGTGAACGAGGCACCTCTAGGTGTGCATTTCTTGATACAGGTAGGAAGGGGAGGAAAATATGAGGTTTATAAGCTTTCTAATCTTGAGCAGCTGTGAGTGACCTGCAGATCATGGCTCACTGCTGTGAGCCTGCCTGGTGCTGCACACCAGAGCAGACAGGTGTGCAGAGACTGCTCGGGCTGTGGTTTGGGTTTGTGCACCTTCCCAGGCTCTGAAAATGCTTCACAGTATTTCCCTCAGTAAAAATAACCCTGTATAGTGTTGTTAAGCTGAAATGCACAGCTTCAGGTCCTGACAAAAACCCAACACACACATAGAACCAGCCAGAAGGACTTAGAGAGACTTGTCTCCCCCTAGTCCCCCCTCTCCTCCATCTTCCTCACTCTGCACTCGCAGTGATGAGCAGAGCAGATGGCACAATAAACTATAATAAACTGCATAACAAGTGAGCAGCACCAAACACAGCCAGCACGGGAAAACACAGGCAGGAGACAATGAGCCCCTTCTATTGCTTTCCGTAATAATCCCTCCCAGGCTTTCCAAGTTCTCTGAGCACTTCCCTTCATTTTGCATCAAGCAGGCTGCAGGAGGAGGCACTTGCCTTGTGCTCTCTTTCTCAGCCCTTCAGGGGATTTATTTAGTCTGTGTGGTGGTGTCGTGCTGGGCTGAGAGGAGCAACACTTCCAGTGGCTGGCTTTTACTATCTTTGTGAGAGTCTTTGCCTCATATTGACCCCAAAATCCAAAGGCACTTGGGAATGAGGAGGAGCTGGGGTGAGCAGCAAGAATGCCAGTGGAGGATCTCGTGGAGAAAGAAAGGAGAGCCCAAATGAATGGAAAATCACTGACATCTGGCTTAAAGTCCAAGAATTGCAGACCGTGCTGGGGAAGGGCCAGAGGATGCTGCCCTCCAGCTGGGCCTGGCTGGG